ATCAGGGCCCTTTCCTTCCCCGTAAGCCATGCAACTCACATTGCTCCCTTCTCTATTCCTCCCTGCATGCCCTAGGATGAAGAGGGGTTGGGCCTGGGTCTTCCTCTGAATTCCCTCTCCCTTGTTCTCTCTCTCCCCTGCTCTGCCCAGTCGGACTTTGCCCTTCCCCGGTTTCTTCCACAGCCAACAGAGCCACCACTCCCACTCCCTGTCAGCTGTTCGGCTTCCTCCTCCGAGTCAGATTCCGACAGGGCATGTATGGTGCATGAAAGGTAGAACACAGCCAGAATAGGCCAGAAAAGTAATACTTATTCTGGAATACAGATAGTCATTGACTTACAACCACAATTTAGGTTGCTCAACAAGACAGTTGTTAAGTGAGTTTTGCCCCATTTCATGACTTTTCTTGCCACAATCACTGCAGTTGTTAAGTTAGCAACGCGGCTGTTAAGTGAATCTGGCTTCCCCCGTTGACTTTGCTTGTCAGAAGGTTGCAAAAGAGGATCACATGCCCCCGAGGACGCTACGATGGTCATAAATATGAGTCAATTGCCAAGCATTTGAATTTGGATCACACAACCATGGGGATGCTGCCATGGCTGTAAGTCACTTTCCAGTGGGTTGTAACTTTGAATGGTCACTAAACCAACTGTTGTAAATTGAGGACTATGTCAATTTATGCTGCTCTCGGAACTTTAGAAGAGAACTTTAGAATAACTTCATTGTCACTTTGAATATACACTAATCGGCATATATTCAAATGAAATTTATCGGCATATATTCAGATCGGCATATATTCAAATGAAATTGCATATAGCCCTCAATGGGTCACGACCTCCATCATACACTACATAAACATGACATAAATACAAAATTATGCATATACCCACATATATTATACGTGTTCTGACCCAAACCCTTTTCCAATAAAACAAACAAGAACCAAAGGGAACAGAAACCTTTTAGTGATTCTTATGAATCCCCAGTTAAAAGGCTGCGGCAAACTAATTAACTTTGATAAGCACAAGCCTTGCCAAAACTGTGTGAGGCTGCCAAGAATAACAGATAAGAAATATTTTACAACAAAAGAGAGTCTTCAAATACCAACTAAGATACTGCAATGTCCACAAGGCTGGAGTCTCAAAACATTTTTGCTTCCTACAAAGAACGTCCGATTCACAGCTGGCTTTTATCTTCTTGAAGGAGGGGCCATTACCTTTCAGCCTTACTCCCGAGTCGCCTCATTGGTCTCAGCCCCTGGACTCTCCAAACGTGCCAAGGAAGACATGCCATCCCTGTCGGATGGTCCCAGTTCCAACTCCCCTTCCTCCTCCTCCTCCTCCTCCTCCAAACCAGGTTCCGATGGGGCCACGACATTTTTTTTTATGATTCTTCATTTCACAACCGTAAGGGCTTGTTTGCCCTTTTTTTAAAAAAACAAACAAACAAACGCCACCTTCATTATTCATGTATAATTATCATATAATTGGAAAGAATCTTTCCTGTATAAGCCACACAAAGATAAACTTCCTTTCCTATCGGTGGGTGCATTCTTTGGTTTCTCTGCTGATAGAATTCATACAAATGACCAAACATTCCTACGGTTGCGTCTTTGCTGTGCCGTACAAAAAAAAGTTTGTAACTTGCTTCTAGCTTTGAGATGCATAAACTGTGCACACAACATGTACTTTTTCCAGCCAGTCTTCAAAGTTGAATACAGGGCAAGTGTCGTATTTAAAAATGGGTCGTGGGTGTGCGGGAAGTCCTCTCCTTTTGTGAAATATTTTGGGAAAAAGAACCCATCCCTCCGATGTCTTGGAGTTTGCCAGTAACTTTTAGTCAGTATAAACATTAATTAAACACTTTTGTTTCTTTGGTGGATGGAAATACGAATAGACTGTTACCTTGCATAACTTAAACTAACTTCACACAGGAATATGCAAACTCCCTAGTGAATTAATTAGCCTCAACTGCTAAATGTGCATTGCATGAAACAAGATTATTTTTGGTGAGGGGAAGCATGGCAGAGGGCGATGTGTAGATATCATAAACCATGGTAGAACCAACAAGATACCAAAATGTGGAGTTGATAAAGTGTTTGTGTAACAGTAACGACCAACTAGAGATTATTCCAAATCCCAGATACTTTATAAGGTGTTGCACAAACGATGAGAAATTGAATCCCCGCGTCCACAGACACTTTTAATACAAGGACCCGTGTGTCAGCTATTTTGAGAATTTTTCCTGCTTGGTCTCTTTGACCCCTTCGAGTGGAAATTCTGGGAACGAAAGTCCAGCCTACCCGGAGGGTGGTTGTGTCCCTTATAAAGTTGTGTCCCTTATAAAACGACCTGAGTAACAATTGCACCCTTGTGACAGAAAACTCTGCAGTAGTAACTGAACGGTTACCATTCTGCACCGCTCTTATCTAATGCCCCCAAGGATGGTCCAGGAGCAACCCCAGATCTTGGGCTGATTATCTAGTTTTCAAAGCAACAAGAATAACAACAGTGTGGGGAAGAAAAACCTTTTCTGAATCAGTTCAAAATTCATTTTCACTTGTTAAGCCTGAGCCACCGGGGGGTGGGGAAAGATGGCAAAAATAATAATAACGGTGAACAAAATATGGCTGAAATCCTCTCCTCTCTGCCCACTCACTCACCCAGTGTTATTGTTGTGTCTTCAGCATACAGAAGCCTTCAGGCTGTTCTCCATTTTTCACAATTTGCTGGAGAACTACGGCAGGAGGTAGTTATTGTTGCCAGGGCATTGTTTTGTGCTGTTCCCACTGGTCTTTGATCAAGCTCCATGAAACAGGAGATGCGGTGGGGGGGCGGGGAGGGGGGGGGGAATAGCTTTTTGTAGCCGCTGGTCATCCAGGAAGAGATTTCTTGCAGCAAGTTTAAATACCAGAAGGTGTCATTTAGCGGATTTGACTTTTCAGCCTTAGTTTCCCTGTGAAAAGGGGGGCTGTGGGTCAGACATGTTAGAAAAGGTTCCGTCCCTCTGGAAAGGAGGCAGTACGGTGCCGAGCAGTCAAGTTGAAATGCATTTCTTTGTTCATATCAGCATACAAGTTTATTTGATTCCACCCCCACCCCAGGTCTGTTCCAAACTGGGGCATTTGCCATGGGCAGTTGGAAAAAAAGTGATTTGCCAAATTGACAATATCACAAACAGAATGGGTGGATGGATTAGAAGGCATCGAGTTATTTTTTTGACTCCTATTGACCACAGCAATAGATTTTCTCCATGATGATCTATACCCAACACTAACATATTCTGTGACGGGGGGGGGGAGGAAGGAAGAAGGAAGGGAAAGGGAGGCAGGAAGGGAGGGGAGGGGAGGGAGGAAGGGAAAAGGAAGAAAGGAAGCAGGAAGGAGGGGGGAAGGGAGGGAAAAGGGAGGGAAAGGAAGGAAGCAAGAAGGAGTGAAAGGAAAAAGGAAGAAAGCAGAAAGGAAGGGAAGGGAAGGCAAAAAAAGGAAGGAAGGAAGCAGGAAGGAAGGAAGGGAGTGGAGGGAAAAGGAAGGGAAAGGAAGGAAGCAAAAAGGAGGGAGAGAAAAAAAGGAAGGAAGGAGAAAGGAAGGAAGGGAAAGGAATAAGGAAGGAAGCAGGAAGGGAGGAAGGGAAAAGGAAGAAAGGAAGCAGGAAGGAAGGGGAGGGAGGGGAAAGGAAGGGAAAGGAAGGAAGCAAGAAGGAGTGAAAGGAAAAAGGATGAAAGCAGAAAGGAAGGGAGGGGAAGGAGGGAAAAGGAAGGCAAAAAAAGGAAGAAGGAAGGAAGCAGGAAGGAAGGAAGGGAGTGGAGGGAAAAGGAAGGGAAAGGAAGGAAGCAAAAAGGAGGGAGAGAAAAAAAGGAAGGGAGGAGAAAGGAAGGGAGGGGAAGGAGGGAAAAGGAAGAAAGGAAGCAGGAAGGAAGGGGGAGGGAGGGAAAAGGAAGGGAAAGGAAGGAAACAGGAAGGAAGGGAAAGGAAAGGAGGGAAAGAAGGAAGGGAGCAGAGGATAAAGGAGGGAAGGAAGGAGGTGTTTTATGAGATTTTTCAGTGTCATCTTGAGAATACAGGTAGTCTTTATGACCATAATGCAGCCTTCCCAGAAGGTCACAAAAGGGATTGCCTGACTAGTTAGGTAACTGGTTGCAAGTCGAGGACTATTGGTAAACAAAATAGAGCTTGTAGTCCTCAACTTACAACAGATTGCTTTAGTGACTGTTTGAAGTTAACAACCACACTTACGACCGTTTTTCACAATTACGACCTTTGCAGCATCCTCATCATGATCATGTGATCAAAATTCAGGTGCTTGGCAACCGATTCGTATTTATGATGGTTTCAGGGTCCTGGAGTTACGTGATCCGTTTCTGTGACCTTCTGACAAGCCGAGTCAATAGGAAAGCCTGATTCCCTTAACAGCCATGTTAGTGACTTATCAGCTGCAGTGATTCACGTAACAACTGTGGCAAGAAAAGTCACAAAATCAGGCAAAACTCATTTAACCAATGCTCACTTAACAACAGAAATTTCCGTCTCAATTATGGTTGTAAGTTGAGGACTACCTGTATTTTTATACTCCTGGGTGCTAAATCATTAATTGCTCAAAAGTGGAAATCCTTAATCTGTTTCTATCATCAAACAATTGGTGTGATTCCATGTGGATAGTTACTGTTCTGAGAAAACTTACTAATAAAATTAGAATATTATCTTCTTAGAAGGACGACCCTCATTTTAATTATCTGTGAAAGATTATACAAGCCGTGCTATTAAGAGTAACAATTCTTAATAAACCTGGTTTTCTACATGGAATCTGGTTGAACGTAGAGATACTATTCTTGGAGGTTGTATGCTTGCCTTACAGAATTTTAAAAGTAGACAATGTAATAGAAATAACATTTATGTTGAAGAGCAAAGCGGAAAACCACCTTGCATTTTATATACACTTCTACTCACCATTTTATTTCGTTTCTTTGAACAAACCGACTTTTCCTCCTTTATTTCTTTGTAGTTCCAAGAGAATTGGTCGAACTGCACCTGAAACTGATGAGGAAGATTGGGAAATCTGTCACAGCAGACCGATGGGAAAAATACTTGATCAAGGTAGAGCGATTTTACATTCCTTTTGAAAGTATAAAACTGGGCGATGATGGCTTCGCAGTCTTTAGTAATACCCTGCCTAAAGTCATAAATGGATGTGTGGATTTTGGAGTTAGATTTGTAATCTGAATTGAGCAACCTGTAACACAGGTAAAGGTAAAAAGTTCCCCAATCCAACTCTAGGGGGCGGTACTGATCTCCCTTTCTTAGCCAAGGGAACCAGCATTGCCCGAAGACACTTCCATGGTCATGTGGCCAGCATGTCTATACACCGAGGTACACAGAATGCTGTTTCCTTCCTATTTATCTATAGAAGAGCAACAAAGGTGGTTAGGGGACTGGAAGCTAAAACATATAAAGAACGGTTGCTGGAACTGTTTAGTTTGATGAAAAAGAAGGACTAGGGGAGACATGAGAGCACTGGTCCAATATCTAGTTTGATGAAAAGAAAGACTAAGGGAGACATGATAGCACTGGTCCAATATCTCAGGGGCTGCCCCAAAGAAGAGGGAGTCAAGCTATCCTCCAAAGCACCCGAAGGCAGGACAAGAAGCAACGGGGTGGAAACTCATCAAGGAGAGAAGCAACTTAGAACTAAATTTCCTGACAGTGAAAACCATTAACCAGTGGAACAACTTTGCCTCCAGAAGTTGTGGTTTCTCCAACACTGGAAGCTTTTAAGAAGAGATTGGATAACCCTTTGTCTGAAGTGGTGTAGGGTTTCCTGCCTAGGCAGGGGGGGGGTTGGACTAGAAGACCTCCAAGGTCCTTTCCAACTCTGTTATTGTATTGCATTGCACCGCACTGCATTGCATTGCATTCTATATCTATTCTAGGTTGTCTGAAGTAGTGTAGGGTTTCCTGTCTAAACGGGGTTGGATAGAAGACCTCCAAGATCCCTTCCAACACTGTTATTCTATTCTATATCTATACCTATTTATCTACTCGCATATGCATTTTTTGTCGAACTGCTAGGCGGGCAAACCTGGGACATGTCATGGCCGCCGCTCACCCCACTGCTCAGATCTCGAACCCAGGCAGTCAGCTTCCTGGCTGACAAGCTCAGCGTCTTTAACCACTGAGCCATCGTGTCCCACATGCTGGTAACATACATAGGTAGTCCTCAGCTTACGACCACGATCGAAACCCAACATTGCCCTTGTTAAGTGAGACATTTGCTGAGTGAGTTTTGCCCTGTTTTACAACCTTCGTTACTGTAATTGTTAAGTGAATCACTGCAGTTGATAAGTTAGTCACCGGGTTGTTAAGTGAATCTGGCTGCCCCCCGCTTGTCAGAAGGTCGCAAAAGGGGATTCCCATGACCTTGGGCCACAGCAAGGGTCATAAGTGTGAACCAGTGGCCAAGCTTCTGAATTTTGGTCGCATGATCCTGGGGAATGCTACAAAGGTCGTAAGTGTGAAATACGTTCGTAAGTAATTTTTTTCAGTGCTGTTGTAACTACTACTTTTTCAAAATAAATTTTATTAATGAAATAACAGAAAGAAAAACATTTTAAAAAAATGAACGTGGTGCATACATCCCGACACACCTACTTGTCTTACATCCTCAAATAATACACATAACGAAAAGCACAAATTTACATTATACATAAATATTAATCGTCATTGATACATTTACTCCTTTCTTTTTTGAACCAGTGGTAAAACTTCTCCCAGATTTCATAATAATCAGATTCAGTCCTATCTTTTGACTCTTGAGTTACTCTATCCATTTTGGCGCACATCCAAATTTTTCTAATTATTTCCATCTTGTCTGGCATATCATTACCTTTCCATCTTTGGGCAAGGGCTAATCTCACAGCAGTGGTGACATGGGCTATTAAATATATTATCTCTTTATTATATTTTAGTGCTGATGTAACTTCGAGCGGTCACTAAATGAACTGTTGTAAAGTCGAGGACTCCCTGTATGTCTGTGAAGTGACTGCCTTGTGATTTAAAATACCTGGCTCCGTGCTTTACTCACATAGATGGCAGCACCTAGCATGTCTCATCTGATAGATAGGATTGGACTGGCTCAGTCATTGGAAATGACAGGTCTGTAAACTGGGAAGTCAGAAGTCATCCCAGAAAAAGGAAATGGCAAAACATTTCTCTATTTCTGCCAAGAAAAACATGTGGACCTAGGATTGTAGGCCTGAAGTCCCCAGGAATTGAGCTCAACTCCAAAGAGAGTTTGATTTTATCCAGTATGGGGAAAAAACTGCAAATGGTTCCCCAGTTTTTTGAGATAGTAAGGACTGGAGCGTAAATCACTTCGCCCAGTTAAAGGTCACGTCAGTGAGAGTTTTAGTAGCGCACAGATTGTTATAAGTCCGTGGTGGCTAACCTTTTTGGGCTCCTGTGCTGAAAATTGCGCTCGTGCGCACCAGCACCCAGAAGGCAATGCGCGCTCCCCCCCAACCCCCTGCGCATGCGATCCCCCCATGTGTCTGTGCAGGTGTGCGCATCTTCCGCGTACTCCTGCCCCCCGCACATGCGCGCCAGATACCCGACAATCAGCTGTCGGGTGGGCAGCGCATGCGCATACAAAGTGGGGCTGTTCTGGGTGACCTCTCATGTGCTGGCAGAAGTGGCTCTGCGTGCCACTTCTGGCAGGCGTGCCATAAATTCACCATCACGGCTATAAGTTGTTGTGAGTCACCGGAGACTATAGCAGCATTTAAATTTGATCAATACAAATCAACTAGGAGTAATGCCAGCGACTCAATCTCTCCTTCACCTCCGGTCCTGATTCCTGCTTTCTTTCCAGAGACACCCAAAAGTACAATTGGATCTGACAGGAATGTATCGTGTGTGTGCGTGTGTGTGTGTGCTTGCAGTGGCGGAAAAGATTCCTCCGTATTTAATTTGACAGTTTTGCCTTGCAGATGTGTCAAGACTTCAACAGCACCTGGGCGTGGGAGATGGAGAAGAAAGGATACCTTGACATGAGCACTGAATGCAAATTGGGGATTTTGAAGGTATTGCTCTTCTACTCTGCAGTGCTCTTCCCCTACTCCATTTGCAAGCTACGATAAATAGAAACAGAAACCTCCCCGCCCCCCTTTCCCCCCCATCTCACAAGTTGCAGCTACTTTAAAAAGGCCCATTCTAAAGTTTAGGACAATTCACCCCAGCCAACTCGCCTCCGGACAGCTCGCTACAGGACAAGACTTACCCTAAGATTAAAGAAATAGTGGAATAGAACCATTAAAGAAAGGAGGGAAAAGGAGGGACAGAATGCAGTGTGAATGGCAAAAAAATTTAATATTTTTTTTTATAAAAAATATTTTAAATAATTAAATAGAATTGTTAAGTTGTCCTGCAGCAAGTTGTCTCACGGTTGAATTGGCCGCGGCGAGTTGTCCCATTCCGTTCTAAAGCCGTGTCTTCTGAATCGTTTTGAATAGTGCGCCACTCTATGGAATATGGGCAAAATGGATCACCATTTATCTGAAATGGCATAGGGTTTCCTGCCTAAGCAGGGGGTTGGACTAGAAGACCTCCAAGGTCCCTTCCAACTCTATATTCTACATGTTCGTTCTAAACTAGAAAAATAGCATATGAACTTGAAGTGGCCCATAAAAGACACAGGGAAATTCAAAGCGTCAAAATACAGGTAGCCCTCAATTTAAGATCACAATTGAGCCTCATATTTCATGTTGCTAAGCGAGACAGTTGTTAAACAAGTTTTGCCCTATTTTACGGCCTTCCTTGCCACAATTGTTCAGTGAATCTCTGCAGTTGTTAAAGTTAGTGACACAGTTGTTAAGTGAAGCTGGCTTCCCTCGTTGACTTCGCTGGTCAGAAGGGGATCATAGGACTCCAGGACGCTGCAACCATCATTAATGCGAACCAGTTGCAGTAATACAAATTTTGATCACAGGGGATGCTGCAATGGTCCTAAAGGTGCAAAACGGTCATAAGTCACTTTTTCCAGTGCCGTGTTAACTTTGAACAGTCACTAAATGAACTGTTGTAAGTCAAGGACTGCCTGTCAGTGAGAGTCTTCCATTGTTTGAAGGTGACATGAAACTACCTTCTATGGGCACCAGGGAACGTAGATGTTTGCTGACCCCTAAAGTATTGATACAGGTAATCCCTGAGTTACAACCATAATGGACCTCAGAATTTCCGTTGTAAGTCATGACAGTTGTAAGTTGAGGCACCGGTGTGACCAGACTTGATTTTATGCCTTTTTTTTTTTTTTGCAATGGTTTGGTCATTAAGTGAACACTGGAGTTGTTAAATGAAAGCAGCAGTCATTAAGTGAACACGATGTTTGTTAAGCAGATCAATGTATTCCTATGGGTATTTTTTGCTGGAAACTGGCTGAAAAGACCAGAAATCTGCAAAAAAAAAAACCTGTCAGAAATTTTGGTCACGTCACTGCAGAATCCCACAACTGACCATAAGGATGAGCCAGGTCCCAAGCACCCGAAAATGCAACCCTTATGTGACCGTAATGTGCAGCCATCAGAACTCTGGAACCCTGGGTCATAATTAGCTTTTGGGGACTCCGTGATAACTTTGAACGGTTGCTAAAGCAACCAGTTATAAGTCGAGGACAACCCGAGGTACGTTGAAAAACGCACTTTGGCTCTTCCTGAAATATATTTTAAAGCCCTGCTACTCCTTTTCCCTCCCCGTCTCTCCCGAAGTACCTTTGCGAATGCCAGTTTGATGACAATCTAAAGTTTAAGAACATCATCAACGAGGAAGATGCCGACGGCATGCGCCTCCAGCCCCTCGGCCGAGACAAAGATGGCTTGACCTACTGGTACCAGCTGGACCAAGAGCATAACGTCAGAATGTACGTAGAAGAGCAGGACGATCAAGACGGATCATCGTGGAAGTGCATCGTCAGGTAAACGTTCATTTCTGGCTGCTTGGTGTTCATTTGGTGCCCCTCAAGCTTGCTGCCCCAACGGTGATTTTTTTTCAAAAGGCAAATGGACTTCGTTTTCCCCTGAAGACGTTTCGCTTCTCATCCAAGAAGCTTCTTTGGTTCTGACTGAATAGGGGAGGATGGAAGGATTTATATTCCTTGCAGCCATCCAGTCCTGTAGCCTGCGATTTTTCTGGGAATCTGTTCCTACACCCAACACCGTTTGAAGGGTATTCATCAGAGGTGCGTTTTCAGCAGGTTCGGACCAGTTCTGGAGAACTGGTAACGGAAATTTTGAGTAGTTCGGAGAACCGGCAAATCCCGCCTCTGACTGGCCCCGCCCCCACCTATTCTCCGCCTCCCATTGAGTCCCAGCTGATCGGCTGGGTCTTCTTTGGTTGCCCTGCACAGGAGAACGGAGCTGGAAAGCAGGTTAATGGGGTGGGGAGGGAATGGGGATTTTACAGTATCCTTACCCTGCCACGCCCACCAAGCCACGCCCATAGAACCGGTAGTAATAACTTTTGATTCCCACCACTGGTATTCACCCCTGTATAATAACAACACTAGATTAATGTAGCAACTTTTAAGATTGGCCGTATTAAAAATTCGAATAGATATAAAATGTTAGAAACGGGGGGACTTTGTTATACATACCATTATTCAATATGTATATAAAGTGAATATTAAAGGTTAAGATCAGAATTTGAAAAAGAGGTAGGTATGCTCAAAAATAAAAGTTATAACTATTAGAAGAATGTAGCAAATATTAATAATTGAAAAATGAAGGGCTAAATTCTGATACAGGTATGTACAACAACATTAGGACTACGTAAGCGGGACTAATTTAGTAATGTTTTCTGTATTACTGCTTTTGTATCAAAATGATGACACTCAGATTCCACACTATTCACGAAATGATATTGATGTAGGTTAAAAAAAAAACTTTACAAAAAAGAAGAAGAAGGGTGTTCACCCCCAAAGAGCATAGCTAAATGTCTGTGAAGATTCTCAGTCATCCAGGTTGTCCCAAAGGTGCTTTTTCAAGAGGCACCTGGACTTTGTTTTTCCTTGAAGACGTTTCGCTTCTCATCCAAGAAGCATCTTCGGTTCTGACTGAATGATGGAGGATGGAAGGATTTATGTTCCTTACACTCTGGTTGTCAGCAAGGAAAATCGGTCATTTATTCAAGGAAAGAAACAAAATCCAGATGCCTTTTGAAAAAGCACCTGTCAGCGTTCCAGAAAACCTCAACTCCCAACAAATAACCATGGGATAACCATGGCCTGGATGACTGAGAATCTCCATACATACCACTCAAGCTTGCTGTGGAAGGCTGGGTGTTAAATCTAGTGTATTTGGAGGGCATCAGGTTGGGGAATAATGGATTGCTTAAAAAAAAAAAAGACAAGACAACCAACAAGCCAGGCCATACTCAGTTAATTTTCCAAAGAGAATAACTCTGATTTCCCAAACTCTGCCTGCAGTATGGTTAGAAATTCTTCACAGCTGCCTCTTAGCTCCTGTTTGGGTCTGTAACATGATATAGTCCTTTACATAGTGGGGGAAAAAAAGAATTTAACCCTTACTAAATTAGGGTTAAAAATATAGCCAGGGATGCAGGCTTTTCCCATCAGCTGGAGAGTGAATTCTGATTCTTGCTCTGATTACCATAAATGTTTGAGGTTCAAAATATTAAACGTGCAAGTATATCTGAGAAATCGATCTGTTTCTACTTGGAAACCCCTTCTGGACTTAGTGCTTGAGGTGGAAAAAAAATGAAACTTTGATTTTGGGTTTTACTGATTAGATTGATTTATTGTTATAGAAATGGCTCGTTTGTACTATTTTGTAAAAGTAAAAAGTTGAGGTTTGGTGTTATTATTTTATTATACTGCACCTAAGGGAGTCAGAAAGTCAACACCTTTTTTCCTCTTTCCCCCCCTTGTTTTCCACACTTTCCCCCTTCCCCTTTGCTTCCCCTATTTTTCCTACTATTTGCCTTTATTTTTTTTGTATTTTGTATCGTAAACTCATAAAAACCCAAAAGTTAATTAGAAAAAAATAAAGCAAAAAGATCTGAGAAAATGATTGGGATCGATTGCAACCCTTAATAATGGTTCCAGATCAGGGTTTCTTAACCTCCGCAGCTTTTTTAAAGACGTGTGGACTCCAGATCCCAGAATTCCCCACTCAGTTGAGGTGGAGAAGTTACCCCAGATGGGGAACGCAGATCTAGATTTTTTTTTAAAAAAAACAGAGATAATCCGTTGTGTTTCCCAAGCCGGATATTTTCTCTTCCTCTTCCCTTGCTTGCAAAGGCTGGCAAGGAACTGCAGTAGCACAATTATGTAAGGTTGCTGTTTTTCTGAGGTTTGGTGCGTGTCTTATTTTTCATCCAGAAGCCGAAATGAGCTGGCTGAAACTCTGGAGCTCCTGAAAGCACAAATTGATCCCGCGCTGTTGAAAAACCAGGATAACTCTTCGCAAGAGAGTCCAAGCACTGAAGATGAAGACGCCAAAAAGAGGGAAGGCACAGCAATGCCAGGTTTGAATATTGTTATTATCTTGCCAGTGGGCAGTCTGTGTTACCATTTACTCCTCGGGAGAATTGGCACTCAAGCCACAACTCTGGGTAGTGAAGGTCCATAATAAACGTCCTTCAAAGGGCCTATTGTTGGATTCTTCTTCACATCTTAAGTTTCAAAAACTTGGCTAACTTGACTTTTAATTGTTGCAGAACCAAAGTTATTTGGAAGTTGAATTCAGCTCACAGAAACGTAACTCTGCCTTTTCTTCTGATGTGGACAAACGTCTTCCAAGAGGGATTACATTTCTGAAGGCTCTTGTGTGTAAAAGGGCAAACTACCCAAAGCCTTGTTTCAGAGACAGGTGCAGGATGAGGCCTTCTGGGTCACACTGTTGGCATACCCATGGTTGTTTGTTTATCCGTATCAGAAGCATCACAATTAAAATAAGGCAAACTGTGCAAGGTAAAATCTAAAATGCAAGATTAAAATATGTACAAGTTAAACAGAACTTGCCCAGAAACTAGTAACATTGTATTCTGTCACACAGCTAGGAAGTTCTTAAGTGTGCACTGATTGGGACACAAACGGCAGGTATACGTAGGTGTTGTTTGCATGTCACCACAATTGCAAAGGACCGAAGCCACCGGACAGCCTCATTTGTTCGGAGTATGCTCATAGAGGTTCAGCAAACTACCCACTCCTTCCGAGATATGCACAAAAATTCCAGGGCTAATCTTTCTACTTCTGTTCTCTAGAGCAATGTTTTGCAACCTTGGCAAACTTTACAATGTGTGGAGTTCAACTCCCAGAATTTTTCCTTCTTGTAGAACCTGAGAATGGAGTGTGCAGCGAGGAGGAGGAGGAGGAGGAAGAGGAGGAGGAGGGATCAATGAAGACATGTGTAGAAGAAAATCTCAACATTGTACCAAAATGTCGTTCCTAGGAGTCTCATAGGGGAAGCTATGACATTTGCATCATATGATTAGCGATTCTGCTGTTCTGAGTAAAAGATTATCATTGGAATAGATTTTAATCATGATTTTGTTGTCATTTAAATTCACTTCCAGAAAGGAACTTTGAAAAATATGGGGGCACAAATGTAGCATCTATCTGCAACTCTTTAAAGCAGCTATGTCTTTGCTTGGATTATATGATATATGGGGGCACAGATGTACCACCTATCTGCAACACATTAAAACAGCTGCATTTTCCCCCTGGATTATATATGGGGGCATAGATGTAGCACTTATGACTCTTTCAAGCAACTGCATCCTTTCCCTGGATTATATATGGAGGCACAGATGTAGCACCTATTTGGAACTTCTTAAAGCAGCTGCGTCTTTTTCCCAAATCATCCCATAGCTGCAGAGGTGAGCCTCACCTTCCTGGGGAAAGTATCAGCTTTAACAAGATGCAGATGGTTGCTGTGGCTGCAGTCCTGTACACATTCTAAGTATCATTTCTGAATATTTTCCAAATCACTGAAACATCCTGGTAGCATGCATGCCTATGATCTGAGCTGGGTATAATCAGTGCTGATCCTTGTTCTAAATTTATTTTGTCTCTCTCTCTTTTTTAATTATAAGCAGAAGGCGAATTGAAGGTGAAGGAAGAAGAAAAGGAGCTAGCAGAAGGACTGCCACAGCCCTGCGAAAACCTTCCACCTCCTGCCGCTCCGGCAGAGGAAAAAAAGATCAAAGTAGAGAAAGTGGAAGAGAGAGACATCATAAAGCTCCCCGTTATCGTAAAACTCGAAAAGCCTCCGGAGAACCACGGGGAAGTGCAAACTACCAAAGACGAAAATGACTCGTTCAAAGAGAACGTGAAGCCGGCTAAAGCGGAAGCGAAAGAGAATAAGCCGGAGCCGAAAGACTCCAGAGAGATGAACAGCAATGCCGAGAGAACGGTCCTTGAGCCCGAGAGGATCGAGTTCTGCGTCAGCGTCAAAACCCCCCAAGACGTGGTGGAGAGAACAGCGGAAGAGAACGAGAAACTTAAAAACGACCAGCAGGCCAAGATCCCCCTGAAAAAACGAGAAATCAAGCTGACCGACGATTTCGACAGCCCCTTGAAAGCGCCCTTGCGGAAATGCATCACGCCGACCAAAGACGTTTCGAAAGAGGAAGGAGGCAAACCAGAGGAGGAGACCTTTAAGAGGGTCCCCACCATCACCGACGGGAAGTTCCTGGTCAACGGGGAAATGGGTTGCGAGAAACTCGTGCCCAATAACCGGTTGGATCGCTCGCCTTGCCCGAGGGAGGAGACCGCCATTCTGCCAAAGGAGAAAAACGGGCTTGGAGAGGAACGGATCCAAGAAGGAGTCAGCACCATCGTCCGGACCAGCGATGTCGAGAAATGCATTTTGCATCCTGCGAAGGAGACCACCGTAGGGGTGATTGTGCCTTTAAGGGAGGAGACCAGCCCCAAAGGGAGCGAAAAACAGCCGGACGCGAAGACGTCGGACGGGGTGGCTGAGGCTCTCTCCAAGGCAGGTGATCCTCCCAAGAAGCTTGAAGACCCGCTCAGAATAAACGACAGCGTGATATGTTCCAAAGACAGCTCGGAAAAACCCTCCAAGCTACCCTCCTCTAAAGAGTCAGTTCTGGTTTCGGATGCCGACGATTTGAAAAAAACAGCTCCTTCAGACGAGAAAACCGCAGGCTCGGCTAGCCCGGATGCAACACCGTCTTCTGTTTCAGTCCTTTCGTTTAAGAAACCCGCGGTGGAAAAAGAAGGCGCCGATTCCCAAGTCGCTTTCCCTGATCAAAGGCAAGCGTGCAAAGAGCAGGAGGCGGAAACGCCCAAGGACTCCGAATCCCAAGAAGGAGAGCTGCCGACCACGGACAGCCTCCCAAGTGCCGTCAAGGAGCCACCTCCCGAGACGAAGAAAGAATCTGTAAAAACCAAGTGTAAATACAAGCTGATTTCCGAAGAAGAAAGTTCTCTCACCGAGAACAGGGAATTAACCTCTGAGAGGCAGAAAGACGGGATTAAGCTAACGATCCGGATCTCCAGCCGGAAAAAAACCGACCCGCTCCCTGCCAAGTCTTTGAACGCAGCCGGCGGGAAGGAGGAGGAGGTGGTGAGCGTCGGTCGCATTTTAAGGCGGTCCCCCCGGATATCTAAACCGACCCCCAAGGTCGTCGAGACCCGAGATCAGAAATCCGAGAAGAAACGAAGCGAGGAAGAGGACGAAAAAGTGGCCTCCGTGCAAAAGCAGGAGAAGAAAGAAGATTCGAAAAAGCCAGAGAAGGAGACGAACTCTAAAACCCACAAGGTGAAAATTACAGAAGGGCTCAGTAACGTCTTTTTTTTTCTTGTAAAAAGTTTTTTTTTATTTTATGTTTCAAAAAACATCTCTTTTAGTGAACAGCATGTTTCCGGGTTTTCACATGTCCATACAAACATGAGCTTGGTTACCTATTCATCTTTCCCTTTTGATTTCATATCCTATCATTACAGTTCATATTTTCGATCAATTTTTTCATATATTCTTATATCCTTCAAATTTGCTTTATATATTTTCTATTCCTTTCTTAACTTATTGCTTTTTGTTTTAAATAGTTCTCATATCTTCATATTCATTATGCTTTATATTTCAATGTGTCACATTTGCAATTTCATCGCATATTCTTATTTCCTTATTCCAAAAGTTCCCTCTTAATTCAAAAAGTTTCCCCTTTAATTACTAATTTGAGTGTACCACCCTTTTATCTTATACATCATTTATTGATTGATTGATTTGATTTGATTTGATTTGTCAGTCGCTTACAAGATAATAGGTATAAGTATAAACATGAGTAAGAATACAGAAAATAGGTACGATTAAATTGGGACAATAGGACAGGGACAGGAGGCACAATGGTGCACTTATGCACAGACCTCTTAGGAATGGGGTGAGGTCAATAGTGGGTAGTTTGAGGTTAAAGGAGTGGGAGGGTTTGAGGATGTAACAACAGAGTGAGGCAGTGCACTCCAGGCGTTGACCACTCTGTTGCTGAAGTCGTACTTTCTACAGTCGAGTTTGAAGCTGTTTACATTGAGTTTGTATCTGTTGCGTGCTGTTGTATTGTTGTGGTTGAAGCTGAAGTAGTCATTGACTGGTAGGACATTGTAGCAGACAATTTTGTGTGCTACGCTTAAGTCTAACCGTAGGCGGCGTAGTTCAAGGTTGTCCAAGCCCCAAATCTCAAGCCAGGTGAGATAGGGTATTCTGTTGCGAGCAGAGGAGTCTAGGACTCTTCTCGTGAAATACTTCTGGACTCACTCGATTGTATTAATGTCCGATATGCAGTGTGGATTCCAGACTGATGAGCTGTATTCGAGCATTGGTCTGGCAAAAGTTTTGTATGCTGTAGTTAGCAGCTCGATATTTCCGGAGGAGAAGCTTCGTAAGATTAGATTTACAACTCCTCTTTAATTCATAATAACAATTTATAACAATATAGTCACTTTTTAATTATCACCCTAAGAATTAGTAACAATAATCTCCTAATAACTACATAACGCAAAATACAACATCACCTTTTACGTTTTGGGGAGAGCTGTGAAAAACCCAGAGACGAAAGCAATGTTTTCCTTACCTCTCTCTAGCCCTCATTCCAAGCTATGCATATTAGGATAGTGGGTTTTTTTCAAAAACAGGTTTTCTCTGTTAGCAATACAGGGAGTCCTCGACCGGCAACATTTTATTTAGTGCCCGTTCCAAGTTATGACGGCCACTGGAAAAAAATAACTTATGACCATCCTTCACAGTTGCACCTGTTGCAGTATTCCCATGGCACATGATCAAAATTGAGGTGTCCCAAGGTCACATGATCCCCTTTTACTGTTCTGACCCAAGCCTTGTTCAAATTAAACACAAACTGTATAAAAGCAAACCTTTTTTTAATGCGGCGCTGGGAATTCAGTGCATTCCCAGCCAGAAGACATTTAAACTTAATTGTCCGAGATAAAAGCAAGCCCTTTCAAGGTTGCAAAAGGCTGCCAAGAACAGAAGTCTAATTGCTGATAAATATCCAACGACAGAAGTTTCAAAAACAAACCAGAGTAAGCAGGGCTTCAACAAGGACTCTTGAGTCTAAAGAATGTCTTTGCTTCCTGCAAAGAACACATCCCCGAGGGCTGATTTTTATCCCTTATGGGAGGGGCCATCACCTTCCAGCCTTACTCCCGAGTTGCCCTTGCTGCTGCAGCTGCTCTTTGCTTCGAGCAGCCCTACACACATTGGGCACTGGCATCACTGCATCACTGCTTCCAGATCCCGTAAGCTCCTAAGGCAGCACCCGCTCTCCGATAGTCTTGGCCTCATCCCCACATCACAAGCAGGCCCCTCGTCTGAGTCCTCGCTATTGGAGAACCCTGCCGTCGGCACCTGCTGCCGGTGAACCACAACACTTTCTGATGAGCAAAGTCAGTGGGAAGCCAGCCTCACTTAACCATTTTTAATACAGATAAGAGTCCTCGACTTGCCATTACAATTGCGCCCCAAATGTTCTGTTCCTACGACTACTGTTAAGTGAATTTTGCCACATTTTTACCACTTCTCGCCATGGTTGTTTAGTGAGTCACTGCAGTTGTTCAGTTAGTAACGTGGTTGAGTGAATCTGGCTTCCCTGTTGCCTTTGCGGATCAGAAATTTGCAAAAGAGGATCCTGTGGCCTTCCGGGACATGGAAGCTGTCCTAACTATGAGTCAGCTTCCGGATTTTGATCACGCGTCCATGGGGAATGCCACACAGGTCATGTGAAAAACGGCCCAAAGTCCCTTTTTCGATGCTGTGGTGATTTTGAACAGTCACTAAACGGACTGTTGTAAGTCTAGGACCAGCTGCACTGAAAAAGGTCACCGCTTGCTGGTGACCTGTGGTGAGCTTGGGATGGGGTGGTTCGTCCATCTGGCTTCTCCGTGCTCTCGTGTCCACTTTCAGTATTACCAGGATGCAAGGAGCCTGCTTTAGTCTGGCCAGATTCTGTCCGTAGGCGAGGAACAATAAAGGGAACCGCTGAGAGGTTACTACTCTGTGTAGCTATCTTGCTTTTCAGAGCCTGACAGTGAGTAATTTACAATGGAAACGGAAGCTTTCCCTCGCCTTTTTGCAGTTTTGCTGTGAGTATGTGTAGAACTGCCATTTGGTAACAAAAAAAAAAAAGAAAACATTGCTTATTTATATAAGTTAATAAAAGCTAGTTTGGTCTAGTGGTTAAGAAACCAGGAGACGTTGAGCTCTAGTTTTGCCTTAGTCACTAAAGCCAGCTGGGCAACAAATCATCAGGTGATGAGGAGTTCTAGTCCGGCCTTAGGCATGAAAGCCAGCTAGATGACTTTGGACAAATGACCAGGTGACAGTGAGTTCTAATCCCACCTTAGACATGCAAGCTGACTAGGCAACTTTGAGCAAATGGCTAGGTGACAATGAGTTCTAGTCCCACCTTAGGCGTGAAAGCTGGCTGGGGGACTTTGGGTCAGTCACCAGGTGACAATGAGTTCTGGTCCCATCTTAGACATGTAAGCTGGCTAGGCGACTTGGCCAGTTACCAGGAGACAGTGAGTTCTAGTCCTGCCTGACAGGAAACTGGCTGACTCTTAACCAATCACCTGTGAGTTCTAATCCTGCTTTAGGCATGAAAGCTGTCTGAGTCACCTTAGGCCAGTCACTCACTCTTAGTCCAACTTACCTCACAGGGTGGTTGTTGTCAGGAAAATAGATGAAGGAAGGAGTCTTGGTATGGTCACCACCTTGAGTTATTGATAAAAAATAATAAAGGCGGGATATAGAATAAATAACTCAGTACATTCAGCCACCAATCGGGTAGCTTCGCGTAACACTATGAGGTAAAGTGGTTGTTGAGGTAATTCCCCGTTAGGAGAATGAGCGCATACAGGGAGACGTATAGAGAGTAGTGTTGGAATAATACACACAGAGCACACAGATTCACTGTGCAGTAAATGTAGGTTTTTACTTCCAGAAAGGTTTAAGCAAAGTCCAAAATAAGCAGTCCAAAAGTCATTCACAGGTAAAATCAGTCAGTTTTTCAATCCAGGGATAATCCAAATATCAAATTCCAGTGTCAGAAACAATTCAGTATCAGACTTACATTAAATCCAGTAATATCAGTCAATTAGAAGAAATGGAGCAATGGCAATACTTTCCAACAGAAGGAAACAGATAATCACTCAGACACACTCTCTTCTGAGACTAAGACTAAGACAAACCAGGTTTCTGGGTCCATCTTATGGCTGTTTGAGAAACCACACCCAATTACAGTTTTGCATTTTCTTAAAGATATAGTACTAAAATGTCTATCCTGCCTTATATATTTCTAACCCAAATACCTGTTAGGTGACTTATATTCCTAACAGCGGTTTTCTTGTCTGTGTGGTCGCACAGCCTAAATGGAGCCATCGTCGTGGTTTTACTTACACTGTGATTTATGGTGCTTGCTGGGTTTTTTGCTTTTCCTTAGAGATGTTAGAGCGTGCTTAGTACCCCCTGAGATATTCAGACAGCTGCAAAGGAGAGGTCCGTGCTCCGTGACCCGGAAAACATCTGGAGCCGTTGCCACGGCCGTCGTTTATGGCTAGGATGTCTTAACGAGCTGAGAAGTTTTTTCTTATTGCTGAATCCCCAGGCTTCCCGGCGAAGTAAAGTCCGATGGGCTGGCACCCGAACGCGTGGCCGTTGGAGATACTCGAGCAATGATGATAGTGAAGGTTCTGAGCACGAAGAGGGGGAAGAGGAGGAGGAAGAAGAGGAGGAGGAGGAAGAGGAGGAGGAAGAACCAGCTCCTGCGGATGATGACGAACCATGCAAGAAGTGTGGCCTTCCTAATCACCCAGAGCTGGTAGGTTCTTGGATCAAAGTTCGAAAATGAGGGTCAGGTTTCCAAGTGATGAAATCCATTTAAAAAGAAAAGAGTCCATCTTCCATAGCAATTTTTTTTATTTCGGAAAGCATCAAATTGGCAAAGTCTGTTGTAATTCTGGATCTGACACAACCTGGAATTACACCACATAATATTGGAAGTTAGAAACAACCCCCAAAAGTCACATTCCCCGAGAGAAGTAGATGAACGTTGCCTGGTGTCATCAATCTCCATCTCCAGGTCTCAGCAAGATCAGCTTTCGTTCCCACGGGAAGGAGAACCACCTAGCCTAAACAACTCTCTATCGCCACTCCTCCCACCTTACGAATGTGGCAAGCCGGAAACCCTTCCCCCCCCCCATGACCAGCAAAGAGAAGGAAAGAAAAGGAATATATAATAAGGCAAAATAAAATGGCTACGCAGATGTCAATTTCAGGCTTGACAATGAGATTCACTCATGTATTTAATCATACACATAACAACTGCAGCTAGAATCATATACGCACAAAATTGGAAAAGTGAAAGTACACCCACAGATCAGGAAGTAGTAAAAAAAAAATACTAGAATGTACCGAACAATGGAACTTAAGGACAAAGAGGAAAAAGAATATTATCTAACATGGGATGTATTGTATGATTGGATAAATAATAGTTGCAGAGATTAGTATTTAACCATGAAAGAAGATTAACAAAACAGAAACCAAATACAGATATATTGAAATAAGTTAAAATAAACAATGTAAGCAACAGCACTAAGTGGATTGTACGTGAATATAGTTTAAAATGAACAGAGTGAGAAAATGAGATTCACAAAGATCTCAAGGGAAATACCACTGGATTATGGCTGGTCAGCCATGCTTTTGTCCAATCTTTTAAGACTTGGGGATTTCAACTCAGGGGTAGAATTCTACCGGTTCGGCCCGGTTTGGGAGAACTGGTAGCTCCAAAGATCAAGGTATTTCCTCCCCACTCACCGATTAGCTGTTTTCCGAAGATCAGCTGTGCCGTGTGATTTAGATTAGCTAGAAAGCAGGATTTCTTTCTTTCTAGCTAATCTAAATCGCACAGCACAGCTGATCCCCCTCAACTTTGCTGTTGTATTGCTTCACCCAGCAGGCTTCCCTGAGGCCCAGTAGGCAAAAATACAAACAAACCCATGCCTACCCAGTTACATGACCACCTTGGCCATGACCACGGAACCGGTACTTAAAAATTTTGCATTTCATCCTTGCTTCAATTCCTTATTGCCTTGGATCAGGGAAGTCAAACTCAAGGGTGCTTAAATCTGGCCCATGGGGCAGGCCTGGAAATATCAAAAGAGTGGCCCAAGTTGCCTCTGCTGGCCAAAACGGATCGCGTAGGCCCTCCGCGCAGACAGTTTTCAGCCGGCAAGTGTGCTGCAGGAAGACTGGGTTGGACTGGATTACAATTATGTGGCCTCCAGCAAGTGCCTGATCTGGATAGAAAACAAGCAAGACCCTATGTCAAGGGTCTTCAGACTTGGCAAGTTTAAGAGTTGTGGATTTCAGCTCCCAGGATTCCTGAGCTAACATGACTGGAGGAGGAATTCTGGGAGTTGAAGTCCACAAGTCTTAAAGCTGTCAAGTTTGAAGGCCCCCTGCCCTAAGTTCACTGCCGGATTTCACATCCTGTAGGTCCATTTAATCTACCATCAACCATCTATAATTGACAGCCATTTCTATTTATTATCCTGGAAATTTATCCTTACTATTAGATCTTGTATTATCCTGTTATTTATGCTATTGTGTTTTTTATTAGTTGAATAATAAAAATACAATAGTATCAATAGGTTTTTCTGCCTGGAAAAGCAATTTACTATTAAACAATACGGTATAAATTTAGAAATGAAAAGTTTAGTAGAGTATGAAGAATAAGTAATGAATGCTTGCCCCGTAATAGCTGGTGGAAGAGTTTGGTTTGTTCCACAGATTCTTTTGTGCGATTCCTGTGACAGTGGCTACCACACGGCGTGTCTTCGGCCTCCGCTGATGATCATTCCAGATGGCGAGTGGTTCTGCCCACCTTGTCAACATGTGAGTTTTCGTTTGGATTTATTTTCCTTATCCCACTCCTTCGTCTTTTAGAAGTGGTGGGGTGGTTCGTCCCTCTGGGCTCTTTTCAAACTCTTTGGCAATTTTTAATGCACGTAGTCCTTGACTTAAACCGTCACAATGGAGCCCACATTTTCCGTTCCTAAATGAGACAGTTGTTCAGTGAGTTTTGCCCCATTTTAACGACCTTCCTTGCCACGGTTGTTAAGTGAATCCTGAACTGTTCTGACCAAGGCTTCCGAGACTGTAATTATGCACACGCTTATTTTAAAAACAAGTCTTGCTTATTGCAATGCTGGGAATTATTTTCATTTCCAACCGGTAATGACTCTCAAACAGTCCCTCGAGATAAGCACCCACCTTTCTTCCCTGTGAAGTGCTGTCAATAACAGAAATGTCCAATGAACTATAAAACAAATCAACCGAAGAGCTTCAAGAATGAATCTGAACCGAACGAACGACTTTGCTTCCTGCAAAGGTTTCTTCACCTTTGCCTGTCCTTTATACCTTATGGGAGGCACAATCACCTCCCAGCCCTGCTCACGAGTCGCCCCTTTTGTCTCAGCTGCTCTCGCCTTCTAGCAGCTCTGCGCACACACGCACTGGGAACAAGCTCCCCTAGGTCCTCTGCCTCGCTGCTGCCAGGCTCCGGAGTCAGCACCCCACTCCCAGATAGTCCTGGCCCCATCTCTGCATTGGATGCAGGACCCTTGCCCAAGTCCTCTTCAGACTCCCGGACTGGTCCCCGTTCTTCTCCACTGTCCAATTCTGCTGCCGGCTGCCGGCTAACCACAACAGCAACACGGTCATTAGATAAACAGATAAACAGAGTTGGAAGGGACCTTGTAGGTCATCTAGTCCAACCTCCCGCCCAAGCGGGAGACCCTACACCATTTCTGACAAATGGCAGTCCAATCTCTTCTTGGAAGTCTCCAGTGATGGCACTCCCACAAAGTGAATCGGGCTTCCCCATCGACTTCGCTCGTCAGAAGGTTGCAAAAAGGGATCCCGTGACCCTGGAGCACTGCAACCGTCATAAATATGAGTCAGTTGGCAAGCATATGAATTTTGATTACGGGGCCATTAGGAATGCTGCAATGGTCTTAAGTAGGAAAAACAGCCATAAGTCACTTTTTTTCAGTGCTGCTGTAATTTGAATAGTCAATAAACAAACCGTTCTGACTTGAGTTTGAACAAACTCTTGGCAGCTTACAGTCAGGAATAAAATCCAGAAAATGATACGGAAGCCAAATACTGAAAAACCCACTAATGACTATTAGGGTACTTAATGCCCAAAACATCTCCCAAAAGAGTCCATCTTCTTTCAAATGTCAGATATTGTTGGATTTAAATCTTAGAAAGGTCAGGTCACACTACTGAAACACATGGAAGAGATTGTAACGTTTTGTCTTGGAACATTTCCTGATGCAGCGCATTAATTTGTAATTTTTTTCATTTTACTAAGTTATGTGTTTTTCCAGGTAAATTGGAAGCAGCTACTATATCATAAGAACCTCTTCCTTTATGCCCTGGGGACAAATTGCCTCAACATTGATCAGGGTTAATCTTGAATTCGTACTAACCACAGTTATGTGTAATTTGAGGCAGGTTCTCAGCACCTTCTGAACTTTTCCTTTACATCTTAAAAGCATTATACATATTACATTTTTTAAAAATTACTTCTTGCCTAATCATCTGTTTTTCTGGAATAGACCGAATTTCTGAAAACAGAGCTTTGGGGATCGGGGGTTCCTAAATTGCAAGACCAGGTCTAAAAATAAATTGGAACTTAGCAGCAGGCATGGAATGCATTTCAAAACGTTTTATTTAAGACTTTTCCAAATGTCCTTGCCTTTATTTTGGCGTTCAGATCCATTCTTTCTTCTCATACAGGCAGTCCTCCACTTATGACCACAATTGAGCGCAAAATTTCTGTGGCTAAGCAGGGCGGTTGTTGAGTGAGTTTTGCCCTCTTTTGCAACCTCTCTTGCCACAGCTGTTAAAGTGAATCACTGCAGTCATTAAGTGAGTTACACGGCTGTGAAGGAAATCTGGCTTCCCATTGAGTTTGCTTCTCAGGAGGTCTCAAAGAGGCGATTACCTGATCCCAGGGACACTGCAACCGTCATAAATACATGCCAGTTTGCCAAGCGTCTGAATTATAATCTCGTGACCCTGGGGAGCCTGCAACGGCCGTAAGTGTGGAAAACGGTCATAAGTCACTTTTTCCCAGTGCCATTGTAACTTCAAATGGTCACTAAATGAATGATTGTAGGTCGAGGATTGCCTGTATTGCTGTTAGTAGCTATTACTTTGAACAGGGCTTGGGAACAGGCCCGCTAAGCGTCTGAGGTATTTTTAAATTGTGCTAATGCGGTAGCATTATTTTCTTTCAATCCCACAGAAATTGCTCTGTGAGAAGTTAGAAGAACAGCTGCAGGACCTGGACGTGGTGTTGAAAAAGAAAGAGCGTGCAGAACGAAGGTATCATCATATTAATTGTATTTCATGACCCCATAATCCCTTGCGGGGTGGAGTCTGGGGAACTGGATGGAGCTGAGAGTTTCCTGGCCGGATGCCCTTCCTGTCACCAATGCGTTGTTGTGTTCAGAGGATACATTCTCATTGTGCCCAGAGAGAGAAATATCTGCCTCTCCCTAGGCTCGAACTCACAACCTCCTGATTGTCATCCTATTCATTGTATGATCCTAGTCAGATCAGTATAAAAAGCTTGATGATCCTTTTTAAAAAGGCATGAATATACCAGAGAGTTGCAAAATTTGTCGGTTCAAACACTGGACGGTTTGGAGAAACCCTGGAAATTTTGTTCCTGCTCCAAAGGATTGCAGAAGCTTGCTTTTCCATTGGACCCTGCTAAGTCTCTCCTGGACCATAAATAGCCATTTTTTGTATGTTTTTTTTTTTCTCTTTCTCTCTCCAAGGAAGGAACGTCTTGTCTACGTGGGCATTAGCATCGAGAACATCATTCCTCCGCGGGTAAGCGAAACGGATCTGGTGATTTCTTTTGAGTTCACGGCCTAATACTGCTGAAAAAACGTAAAAAAAAAAATTCTAGCTGGGGAAAAAGCAGAACTGGCTTCGTCGGTATTAGTTGTAGGTATTTGCCTCCTTGTTTTTTATTTATTTATTCTTCTAAAATATTTGGTTTGCGCTATTTGGGCTGGGAATTAGCACGATGGCTTGGCGGTTAAAAGCTGCTGAACTTCGGTTCGAGTCCCGAGCATTGCATAACAAGGGGAGCTCCTGTTACAGGTAGTTGCTTGACTTACAACCACAATTGAGCCCAAAATTTATGTGGGAAAGTGAGGCATTTATTAAGCGAATTCTGCCCCTTTTTACAACTTTCCTTGTTGTTAAGTGAATCATTGCAGTTCTTAAATTAGTGACTGTTGTGGTTAGCCGGCAGCAAGTGCGGACGGCTGAGGAGAGCGAGGACTCAAATGAGGGCCCAGGACCATTAGGGAGTGGACTGCTGCCTTCAGAGATTGTGGGGGCTGGCAGCAGCAACGAGGAGGTTCCCGAGGAGCCTGTGCCAAGTGTGCGTGCACGCAGGGCTGCTCGTAGGAAAGAGCAGTTACAACAGCACGGTCGACTTGGGAGTAAGGCTGCAAGGTAATGGCCCCTCCTTCAAGAAGGTAAAAGCCAGCTGTGAAACGAACCTTTGCAGAAGGCAAAGACGTTTTGAAACTCCAGCCTCGTGGACATTCCAATATCCCGAGTTTGCATTTGAAGATTCTTATTTTGCGAATTATTTCTTGTCTGTTATCTTTTGGCAAGTCTCGCACAGTTTGGCAAGGCTTGTGCTTATCACAGCTAATTATTTTGCAAAAGCATTACAAGTTTTTTGTTCCTTTTGGATTGTGTTTGATTTGTTGAAAAAGGGCGTGGGTCAGAACAGTCAGTCACATACCAGGGAAAATGTCTTCGGACAACGCTGGCTCCCTCGGCCTAGCAAGGGACACGAGCACCATGCCCTATAGTCAGACACGATTGGACAGGGAAAACCTTCACCTTTAAAAAAAAAAATTGGGTTAGGCAGAAAGGTCAAAAAAAAAAAAACCCAGAATAATGCATTGACAAACCGCTGACAAAATCATTGCGCGGACCCCCTTTGTGCGGTCATCCCAAGACAATCTCCACTTGAGGCTGGAGGTTTTATCTTTTAGCTGCTCTTCATAGAGCAGATCAGGAGATCTCCTGGGCACCAGATCTAGTTTCCCGATCACTCAGGATCGAGAGCAGTTGGGTTGTGTGTGGTTCTCCTCTCCTCTGCTTCTAGGGGTGTTTGAGCACTTGCCTGTGTGGATTTGAGGGTGGGCCTCATAACAGAATTTCCACCTTGACACCTGTCGTTGGGCAAATCTGTTTAGTTGCAAGATTTGAGAGGATGGCTTCATTTGGTGGTAGGGAAACTATAGTCCTCAAATTATAACCATTTGTTTAAAGTGACCGAAGTAACGACGACACTGGGGGAAAAAATGGCTTTACGACCGTTTTTTCATACCAATGATGCTTGTAGCACCCCCCCTCCCCTTGGTCAAACGCTGGGCAAACAACATATATTTATAATGGTTGCAGTGTCCCAGGAGTCACACAATCTCCTTTTACGCCCTTCCGACAAGCAGAGTCATCTAAAAGTTAGATAAATAAAAGTTAGATAAAGGTTGTCTGAGGAAACATCTCTTGCCAGTCACATCCACCCGACCCATTGGAGCGAGGAGGCAGGGAACGTTGCGGGTCCCACCCCTGAGGGAGATACACCTGGTGGGACCCAGAAGAAGAGCCTCCTCCGTGGTGGCTCCCTCTCTCTGGAATATCACCCCCCCCAGTGATTAGAATGGCCCCCAGTCTAGCACTCTTCCGAAAGGCCCTGAAGACCTGGTTCTGCCAGCGGGCCGGGGGAACCCAGAGCAGGATGGAGCCCATCAAATGACTAGTGTGATCTGCTGTCATCGGGGCGGAGGGGTAGGAGTTGGTTTTCTATTTTTTGATTTTTTTTGTTTTCCCAAATTTTGTTCTGTTGTAAATTACTAATTTATTTGATTCTTTTTGTTAGTTTTTATTGTTTTTATTTTTTGTTTTTTAAATATGGTTTTACATTGCGTAAGCTGCCTCGATTCGCCCTGGGCGAATAGGTGGCAGTATAAATTAAAACAAATAAATAAAGTCAAGAGGGAAGCCAGATTCACTTAACAACCGGGTGACTAACTTAAAACGGCCGCAGTGATTCACGTAAGAAACGTGGCCAGAAAAGTCATAGAATGGGGGCCCAGTTCACTTAACCACGGTGTCGCTTAGCAATAGCCGTGGTTGTAAGTCGAAGACTCCCTGGTATTCCCATTAATGCAAGTCAGGATTGAGGCTGAGCATAAACGGTTGAAGAATGGAATGAAGATGTTACATTGACTGCAACGGGCATGATGAAAAGGGTTCGTCTTTTTTAAATCAGGAGCCTGAAATTCCTGAGCCTGTGGATGAAAAGAAGAAAGACTCCAAAAAATCGAAGGCAAAGCTGCTTGAAAGGAGGTCGACCAGGCAGCGGAAGTGTATCAGCTACAGGTAAATTACTAATAAAAAGAATATTTGCAACTTAGGGTTGACCTGTGAAGTCCTTGACGCTCTCTGAACATGGCTGTTTTCTTGCAGACCTTTCATGACACAACTAGGTAACGTTATCAGTGCTAGAAAAGAGTGGGGTTTGCAGGGAAGAGGAGGAGGAGGAGGATTATGGTTTCTTTGGTGCTCTCTGAGCTTGGTTATTCTCTTGCAGACGTTTCCTGACCCAACTAGGAAACATCATCAGTGCTAGAAAGGAGAGGGCTTTATGGGTGAGGGGGTGGAGGAAGTCTGAAGCAATGGAGGAAAACTGTTTTTGACTCAACCTTCCTCACCTCCAAAACTCTGGGAGGTTGGAAAGTTCTCCCCTCTCTTATCTTGCTTTGACTTTGAAAAGAGGTTTATTTATCTGTTAAATCCAATATGCCGCCCATGCCTTAAACTCTGTTAGTTGCCTTATTATACTAGAAGGCTTATCCCTTGAAGAGAGGTTGAGGCACAGATAATGTTAACGTTGAGGCATAATGTCATGTCAGTTGGCGTTACGGGTGAAATGCGCGCTTTGCATTAGGATAACTTCAATTCAAAATCTCTCCAAAACTTTTAGGCAGCTGATTGGTGTAGCGGTGAAGGTGCCAGCCTAGAAACCAGGAGAACTGAGTTCTAGTCCTCCCTTAGGCATGAAAGCCCACTGGATGACTTTCGGTCAATTGCATATTCATATATTCTCTCTCTCCTCTCTCTCTTTCTCCCTCTCTCTCCCTGCCTCTTTCTCTCTTTTCATGTCTCTCTTTCTCTCCCCCTCCCTCCCTGCCTCTTTCTCTCTTTTTGTATCTCTTTTTCTGTCTCTCTTTCTTTCCATTTCTCTCTCTCTCTCTCTCTCTTTCTTTGTCTCTCCATCTCTCTCTTTCTCTCTGTCTCTTTCTTTCTCCAGCCCACATCACAGATTGTTGTTGAGGGCAAAACATGACAGAAATGTTACGCACATCACCTTGAGTTGCACAAAATAAAGGCAGGATAGGCATCAAATAAGTAAATGTGAGCGATATCCTGTTTTCACGGAGAAGACCCTGTGGGATTACTAAACCAAGTTCCTAAGGGTTGACACGCAGTCATCCTCCTCATCCTCCTGAATTCCTATTTCTGCAGGTTTGACGAGTTTGATGAGGCCATTGATGAAGCCATAGAAGATGACATCAAGGAGGCTGATGGAGGAGGTGAGCTTTGAGGGAGGGGCTATCCTTTGGGGGGGGGAGGAGCCATGGTGGCGCAGTGGTTGGGATGCAGTATTGCAGGCTAGCTCACTGCTCACTGTCATCACTTCGATCCCGACCTGCTCAAGGTTTCCTTCCATCCTTCCAAAGTTGGTAAAATGAGGACCTAGATTGTTGGGGGGCGATAGGCTGACTCTGTAAACATCTTAGAGAGGGCTGGAAAGCACCGCGAAGCAGTACATATGCCTAGGCGCTATTGCGAAGGAAGGAGGGAGGGAGGGAGGAAAGAAGGAAGGAAAGAGCCACAGTGCCACCAGTGGTTATAATGCAGTATTGCAGGCTGACTTTGCTCAGTGCCAAGGGTTCGATCCTGACCGGCTCAAGGTTGACTCAGCCTCCCGTCCTTCCGAGGTCGATAAAATGAGGACCCAGATTGTTGGGGGCAAGAGGCTGACTCTGCAAACCACTTAGAGAGAGCTGTAAAAGCACCATGAAGCGGTATATAAGTCTAAGGACTATGGCTATTGCTATCCAGAGAAATATTTGGATGAGTTGAGCGGTAAATGGTTATTCCAGATTTGGGCATGGCAGATGCCAGATTTAGTTTGAGGGATTTAGATGCTGAGCTGTTTCACTCCGGGGCAGGAGAATTGCATATTTGCTAAATGCAGTAATAGTGGAATTTGGCTTTGATCCTCTTCTTCCTAAGATTCTTCCCTCTTCTTTAAACATGAGTTTGCTTCTTTTGCTAATGGCTGTCCCATAATGTAATTAATCAATTAATCTCCCTCGTTGGATGGTTGGAGTAAAAGAAAGAGAGAGAAGAAGAGGGAGGAATCATAGGTACAGGCAGTCCTCAACTTAGCGACCATTTGAAGTTACAACGGCCCTGAAAAACAGCGACTTCTGTTCATTTTTCACACATACGACGGCTGCAGCGTTCTGTAATGACATTTCTGCGACCTTCGGCCGCAAAGTCAATGGGGAAGCCAGGTTCAATGAACAACCTTCTTACTCATTACACAACTGCAGCAATTCCCTTAACGACTGCGGCAAGAATGGGGCAAATCTCACTTAACGGCAACCGTCTTGCTTAGTGATGGAAAATTTGGGGCTCGGTTGCTGGCGTAAGCTGAGGACTTCCTGTACACGGAAATGAAATCAAACGGGCAACAAGTTGTTTACTTCTCTCCCCGTTTTCTTTTCTCTTTCAAAAAAATATTACTAATTTAGGATATGACATACGAAGAGACTAATACAAAAGCGAATGTTGGGAAAAAGAAGGAAGGAAAAAGGGAAGTGGATAGCGAGAGAAAATAAGGGGAAAAGGGGAGAAAGTCACCGACTTCTGACTTCCTTGGTGCAGTAAAATAAGGCATTAAGATCTACCCTCAACTTTTCACTTTTTCATAATAGCAGAAACGAGCCGTTTCCATAACAACAAATCGATTTAATCAGTAAAACCCAAAATCAGAGGTTTCATATTTTTTTTCCTCCCACCTCAAGCACTAAGTCCAGAAGTGGTTTCCGAGTATTTTTTTTTTCCTTTAATGCGTTTTGCTCCCTTGATCCACAGCAGTCAACTGAGGCACCTCTGCTATATCTCCCATCAGTTTTTGTAGCCATTCAAAAGCCAGGCGGTGCCTCTTGATCCCCAAAGTGTTGCACCCCGTTGTTCTAAGGAAAGGGGGATCATGGAAGGAGGGGAAGAGAAGCGTCGGGTGCGCGGTTCATTGTCGCCATCCAATTGACTCCCCCCTTCCCCCCCCCAAAAAAACCCCATAGGTGTCGGGAGAGGGAAGGACATGTCTAACATCACGGGGCATCGAGGGAAGGACATCTCCACCATCCTGGAGGAAGAAAGGAAGGAGAGCAAACGGCCCCCCAGAGCTGCTGCCCTCCGACGCAAGAAACGGCGGCGACTGAACGACCTGGATAGTGACAGCAACCTGGATGAAGAAGAGAGCGAGGATGAATTCAGAATCAGTGAAGGGTGAGGCATCTTATCATTTCTTACATTTCCTTCCTTCCCTTCCTCCCTCCCTCTTTCATCCTCCCTCCCTCTTTCATCCTTCCTCTTTCATCCTTCCTTCCTCCC